ACCACTCAGCCCAGCTGTTCCCCTGACTCATGGAAAATTACTGCAGTGAGGGAGGGAGAGCCCACAGTGTGTGTGTGTGTGTGTGTGTGTGTGTGCGTGCGCTCTTGTGTGTGTCCGTGCATGTGTGTGAATGAATCTGCAATACATCCATGCCTGTCTGATCTAATATGTCCTTCTACTGTCTCAACAGACAAGGGAGGGAGGAGTGTGTGTGTGTGTGTAGTGTGTCAGGCCACTGGATGTAAAATAAAAGTCTCAAAGAGACTGGGCTTCGCCATGATTCAATCTAAGCCTGGTCCAGCCACATCAGATGAGAGCAGAGGGGGAATCCTTATTTTCCATGACCCATGACATAGCAATGAATAGCAGACTGTTTGAGTGAATGATATGTCATTAAGTGTCCATTATAATAGAGATGATTGATGGATTGTGGCAGGAGAGGAAACCACCCATCTTCCTCTAGTAATGGAGAACACATTTAGCTGGCTATACCAGGCTAGCACTACTGGCTGGGGCCTATTTCTTTTGTGTGGCATGTCTTCATGCTAGGAGGATAGGCATGTACTCATGTAATGTCCCCTTCCTTGTTTATCCATGTCATATAGAGATCTACTGTGTGTAGGACTGTAGGTGCTACTTGTCATAGAAGTTAAGGAGTTGTTTGTCGTCTCAGCCAGCTGATGGCAGTGATGCCACTGAATGCTACAGATTGCTACAGTACAGTACTGTAGAGAGAGCTGCAGGTTTCATTGGGACGAGGATCCCATAGGGACTGGGTGAGCTTATTTTACCAGTGTGTCATCAGACAGGATGGCCACCAGCCTCAGTGTCCTGTAGTAATATCTCGGTGGGCTCCACTGTCCTACTGTCAGCCCACAGATGAGAGCAGAGGGCCTTACCAATACCTATGCAAGAAAGAGAACAACAGTTTCAGGTGTGCATTGTCAAACGTCCATTACCTGTGAAAGTCAGTGAGGAGTGGAGGAAAAACCAGAATCCTGTTAAATAATGTAGAACCATTTGAAAGTGAGTATACAGGCAGCCATGTTGAATGAAGTTTGAGGCATGCCTGATGATGAGTGTAGGGCATGTAACTACATGTAGTCGCCCTGTTAATCCATGTCATATGAGAAATGAGTGTGTAGAGCTGTAAGGGTGTAACTAGCATGCATGAGAAGGGTTAGAGAGATGATTGGTAGCGCAGCCAGATGATGCAGTTGATGCCATGATAATGATACAGACAGTGACTGAGGAGAGCGCCATGATGAAATGGGGAGAGCACCCATGGGAAATGGTGTGAGCCATGTAAGTGTGTCACAGACCAGGAATGATATAATGGGTGGGGATCCATGAATCAAGGGAGACAGATGTTAAAATGCAGAGAAAAGTTAGAGTAGCCATGTTGAAATGAAGTATAGAGCAGCCATATGAAATGAGTGTAGAGCAGCCATGATGAAATGAGTGTAGGCAGCCATGATGAATGAGGTGAGCATGATGAAATGAGGTGTAGAGCAGCCATGATGAAATGAGGTGTAGAGCAGCCATGATGAAATGAGGTGTAGAGCAGCCATGATGAAATGAGGTGTAGAGCAGCCATGATGAAGGGAGAAATGTTTACCAGCCCTGAGCCAGTGTAGCCATCTGTCTGTCTGCAGGGAGTGGGAGGGGTCTGTCTCTCTCTGGGGGTGGAGACTAGAGAGCTTGGGCTAGACAATGGTTGTGTGACTGACTGGACGGGTGGATGGATCAGGCAGGAGAGGCCCAGGCAGAGAAAGAGTGAGGAAACACATACAGTTGAAGTCGGAAGTTTACATACACCTTAGCCAAATACATTTAAACTCAGTTTTTCACAATTCCTGACATTTATTTCTAGTAAAAATTCCCTGTCTTAGGTCAGTTAGGATCACCACTTTATTTTAAGAATGTGAAATGTCAGAATAATAGCAGAGAGAATGATTTATTTCTTTCATCACATTCCCAGTGGGTCAGAAGTTTACATACACTCAATTAGTATTTGGTAGCATTGCCTTTAAATTGTTTAACATGGGTCAAATGTTTCGGGTAGCCTTCCACAAGTTTCCCACAATAAGTTGGGTGAATTTTGGCCCATTCCTCCTGACAGAGCTGGTGTAACTGAGTCAGGTTTGTAGGCCTCCTTGCTCGCACACGCCTTTTCAGTTCTGCCCACACATTTTCTATAGGATTGAGGTCAGGGCTTTGTGATGGCCACTCCAATACCTTGACATTGTTGTCCTTAAGCCATTTTGCCACAACTTTGGAAGTATGCTTGGGGTCATTGTCCATTTGGATGACCCATTTGCGACCAAGCTTTAACTTCCTGACTGATGTCTTGAGATGTTGCTTCAATATATCCACATACATTTCCTTCTTACATTTACATTACATTTATGTCATTTAGCAGACGCTCTTATCCAGAGCGACTTACAGTTAGTGAATACATATTTTTTTTATACTGGCCCCCCGTGGGAATCAAACCCACAACCCTGGCGTTGCGAACGCCATGCTCTATCAACTGAGCTACATCCCTGCCGGCCATTCCCTCCCCTACCCTGGACAACGCTGGGCCAATTGTGCACCGCCCATGAGTCTCCCGGTCGCGGCCGGCTGCGACAGAGCCTGGATTCGAACCAGGATCTCTAGTGGCACAGTTTGCACTGCGATGCAGTGCCTTAGACCACTGCGCCACTCAGGAGTTTTCTTCATGATGCCATCTATTTTGTGAAGTGCACCAGTCCCTCCTGCAGCAAAGCACCCCACAGCATGATGCTGCCACCCCCGTACTTCAAGGTTGGGATGGTGTTCTTTGGCTTGCAAGCGACCCCCTTTTTCTTCCAAACATAACGATGGTCATTATGGCCAAACAGTTATATTTTTGTTTCATCAGACCAGAGGACATTTCTCCAAAAAGTACGATCTTTGTCCTCATGTGCAGTTGCAAACCGTAGTCTGGCCTTTTTATGGCGGTTTTGAAGCAGTGGCTTCTTTCTTGCTGAGCGATATAGGACTCGTTTTACTGTGGATATAGATACTTTTGTACCTGTTTCCTCCAGCATCTTCACAAGATCCTTTGCTGTTGTTCTGGGATTGATTTGCACTTTTCGCACAAAAGTACGTTCAAACAGAACGCGTCTCCTTCCTGAGCGGTATGACGGCTGCGTGGTCCCATGGGTGTTTATACTTGCGTACTATGGTTTGTACAGATGAACGTGGTACCTTCAGGCGTTTGGAAACCAGACTTGTGGAGGTCTACACATTTTTTTTTCTGAGGTCTTGGCTGATTTATTTTGATTTTCCCATGATGTCAAGCAAAGAGGCACTGAGTTTGAAGGTAGGCCTTGAAATACATCCACATGTACACCTCCAATTGACTCAAATGATGTCAATTAGCCTATCAGAAGCTTCTAAAGCCATGACATCATTTTCTGGAATTTTCCAAGCTGTTTAAAGGCACAGTCAAGTGTATGTAAACTTCTGACCCACTGGAATTGTGATACAGTGAATTATAAGTGATATAATCTGTCTGTAAACAATTGTTGGAAAAATGACTTGTCATGCACAAAGTAGATGTCCTAACTGACTTGCCAAAACTATAGTTTGTTAACAAGAAATTTGTGGAGTGGTTGAAAAACGAGTTTTAATGACCCCAACCTAAGTGTATTTAAACTTCCGACTTCAACTGTACTCTCGTGTGTTTTGTGGGCTTGTATAAATATCCTTGTGGTTACCGGAAACCCCCAAAAGTCCCCACCAGAATAGTAAAACAAGTAGAATTCTCTCTCAATTTTAGGGGTTAGGTTTAGGGTTACAATTAGGGTTATAAATGGGGTAAGCAGATTCTGGGATGAGTCGTTTCTGTCCATAGAGAGAATCTAAATTTCCCTCAGAAGAGACTGAATGTGGTTGAATTCAGAGCTGCAATTTGGAGCTCTCTTTAAGGTGTGACTCTCTGTACTGTTGCCTTCTCCTCTGGCCATCCAGTTTTAGTTCTCCAGACCTTTTTGTTTCAGTTTAATTACTGTAATTCCCTTTCATCTGCGTCTGAGAGAGCAAAGGATCTGGATTATTCCCCCAGAGCAGACATGCATGCTGCTGGTAGTGTTCAAGTAAACCTTAACCAGTGTCCAGTCTAAACTGAGGAAAGGAGATCTATTAAAGTTGTACAGCATATGATACGGAAGCTGTTAAATTGGATAACATAGAAGATGTCTGTTTCTGGCTGCTTGGACTAATCAACACTTACTTTACTGTTACTACTTCCTATCACACAAACCAATAGATGGCAGTGTTCCTTGCATAGTGCCCCATTTCATTTACAAGATTGAATGTTCCAAAAATTGCACCATGGCCTGAGCAAGCTCAGGTGATGCTTATGTGTCATTATGGTGTTAGCAGGGCTACTCTCACTAGACGTTCATTGAGCAGCACTCTCACCCCATGACAAGGAAAGTTAATGAGTTAGGGGGGCAATGCACTTACCTTACATCAGCCATGGTTTTCCTATGGTGGGTGACAATTTTTTAAATTCGTTTCCTATGGCTGTACTGTCCTAAATGTATAATAAGTCAATACTACAAACGTTTCAGAGAGGAAGGATCATCCATTGTCCTTTTATGAGAAGATAGTGTGACTATATTTGTGTTTACCCACAACCCTTTGCAAAACGAATTTGCATACTGAAATGAATTCTGAAGGAAGAGACAAATTGTTAGATTCAGTTTTATGTTGTTAAAAAGTGTTAACTTTTTATTTCTATGTACTTTATTTCATATTTTTATGTTTATTCAAAATGTCCTACTTTTGTGTTTTCCAGGTGGCTTTGCTAGGAATAGACCTTTTATCTGCCCTAGTGACAAGGCTACAGGACCGATTTAGGAACCACGTGGGAACAGGTAAGATTGTCATTTTATTATCTTAAAAAATATCACTTTCTTCATGCTTAAATTAGTTCAAAGAAAAATTGGTTTAGGTTTCTAGACAAAATGTCAGACTAAAAATCACTGTATTGTATCCCTGCCTAGACTAAACTATTGAGCGCCATTGGATTTTAACTCATCGTTCACACCTTTAGATAACAATGCTAACCCTTCCCCTGTCTGTTCTTCTCTTCTCTCCTCTGTGTCTCCATCCCTCTGTCCTGTGTGTCTCCAGTACTGCCCAGTCTGATAGATCGTCTGGGTGATTCCAAAGACCAAGTCAGAGAACAAGATCAAATCCTGCTGCTGAAGATCATGGAGCAGGCTGCCTCCCCACAGGTACATACACACACACCCCCCACAGGTGGAGCTTTCCTGGGCTAACCTGTCCTCATAGACAAGCTATTGACAAAGGTCTTGAGTCAATCCCACAATTCCTTCCCTGTTGATTAATTCCTGAATCCCTAGTAGGTTTTGATTCCTTACTCGATTGTATGTTAATTGATATGATCCTGATCTGTGATAAAAAGCGATTTGATTGTTGACCTGGTATAAATATCCTGTCCTCTCCTCCCCAGTATGTGTGGGATAGAATGCTGGGAGGCTTCAAACACAAGAACAACAGGACCAGAGAGGGAGTGTGCCTTTGCCTCATCTCAACGCTCAACATGTAAGACTCCCTGGCCTCTCAATAACCCATCTATGAAACTGTCTCTTTTCTTACTATAGAACAGATGGGCATTAGAGCTCTCGGCTGATTTCTTTTAACATTGCTAATGTTTTTCATCATTCGTTTGTAATAGACAGGGAAGGATTCAATATACATTTGTAGATTTCTGGTTTCTAATACTCTGATAGCAATGGAAATGTAGCTAACTGCCAAGAGAATGGATGAGCCTAGGTTTGATTTGTGTATCATAGGGAATTTAAAAATGATATTATGGTAAGGTCTTTATTGTCAGGAGTCTATTTTCAGTGATGCTGATTCTTACCTATGATGTCATTGGCATGCTTTCTCTCTCTCCCTCTTTGTTCTTCCAGGTACGGAGCTCAAGGCTTAACCCTCAGTAAAATAGTCCCTCACATATGTAATCTACTAGGTGATCCCACCAGTCAGGTACGTACGGCCTGTTTGCTGTGTCATGAATCAGTTTATTACACTGCTGGCCAGGGAGGGGGAGAGTTCTAGCGCAGATGGACACAAAGGCATTTCTACAGGGACATGAAGCCCCCTAGTGGCAGCCACAGAACAGAACAGTGCTATCTGTTGGGGGATGCAGACTAATGTTTCTGTTCGTGACTGTTTCAAGATCTGTAAACAAATCATATTAGTGTTAGCGTATACACATCTGTGAGTGACTGGGGGTTGCATTCTGTCAGTAGATAAAGACATTGTCATATTCTATTGTAGTCCTGTTAGGGCATGTTCTAGATTGAACCTTCCCCCCCCTGTTGTCCTCAGGTGAGAGACGGAGCTATGGGCTGCCTGGTGGAGATCTACAGACACGTGGGGGAGAGGGTGAGGATGGACCTCAGCAAGAAGGGCCTACCACAGTCACGGTATGATGGACCTTCTACCTCTCTGTCTGTCTGTCTCTCTGTCACTCTGATTGTGTCTCTCTGTCTGTCTGTCTCTGTCTGTCACTCTGATTGTCTCTCTCTCTCTCTCTCTCTCTCTCTCTCTCACTCACCCACTCACTCACTCACTCACTCACACACTCACACTTTCTCTCACTCCTCTTTCTCGCTCTCTCACTCCTCTTTCTCTCTCACACTCCTCCCTCTCTCATTCTTATCTCACTCCTCTCTCTCTCAGTTCAAATCAATTCAATTCAAAGGGCTTTATTGGCATGGGAAACATATGTTTACATTGCCAAATCAAGTGAAATAGATAATAAACAAAAGTGAAATAAACAATCAAAAATTAACAGTAAACATTACACTCACAAAAGTTTCAAAGGAATAGAGACATTTCAAATGTCATATTATGGCTATATACAGTGTTGTAACAATGTGCAAATAGTTAAAGTACAAGAGGGAACATAAATAAACATCAATATGGGTTGTATTTACAATGGAGTTTGTTCTTCACTGCTTGCCCTTTTCTTGTGGCAACAGGTCACAAATCTTGCTGCTGTGATGGCACACTGGTATTTCACCCAATAGATATAGGAGTTTATCAAAATTGGATTTGTTTTCGAATCCTTTCTGGGTCTGTGTAATCTGAGGGAAATATGTGTCTCTAATATGGTCATACATTTGGCAGGGGATTAGGAAGTGCAGCTCAGTTTCCACCTCATTTTGTGGGCAGTGTGCACATAGCCTGTCTTCTCTTGAGAGCCAGGTCTGCCTACAGTGGGGTCTCTCAATAGCAAGGCTATGCTCACTGAGTATGTATATACTCAATGCTTTCCTTAATTTTGGGTCAGTCACAGTGGTCAGGTATTCTCTCTCTCTCTAGGCTACAACAGTGTGAAAGAGGGGTGTGGTCTAATGTAAAGGTCCTAAAGGGAATGTAACCACCTAAATGACTCCATTCAAACATAATTCCATTCTGTAGGCCTATACCATTTAACATTTAGCAAATATGCAAAATATTTAATTCTGAAGTGCACTTTCTCTGATCATTTTAACAGCCTACAGAACAGTGTAGACCAGAACAGTGTAGACCAGAACAGTGTAGACCAGAACAGTGTAGACCAGAACAGTGGGAAAGAGGGGTTGGTCTAATGTAAAGGACCAAAAGGGAAGCAAACCACCTAGGTTAAATGATCTGTTATGTCAAGTGTTAGATGTGTTTCATTCAAGCTTACTATATAACCCTGGCAATGCAAAATCTTTCAAATCAAAAGTGACTTTTTAAAATGAATGGCCTACTTTCTGCAGGGACTTCTATCAACTGTCATAATCTACTGATCCCTCTCCCCCTGCTCTGCCCTGGCCTGCAGCGTTGAATAAAGAACACTCCACTATAACCACTAGCTAGCCAGCTAGCTACTCTTTCACTATGGCTGTGAGGCCTCCAATTAACTTTCCCCTGTGAGAAGTGAAGCCTCATGGGTAATATAACGTCAGCGCTGCCGCACCAGCCTGCCTGTGTCTGTGGCATGGAGGTGGGGAAGGGATTGAGTGTATGGTAGCCAGCCGTCAGTCTTTATTGAATTAATCTGTATACCAATACAGTTCTTATTGCATTAGACCGACCACTGTACCATGACACCTTATTGGAGATCAGCTGTTGCAGAAGCACGGATGCAGGCCCACGATAGGCTAATCTTGTAACCGGGTCACACCGATTGGCCACACAGGCCTCAGCGATGCTAAGTGATACCACAGTATGCTATTTAAACATGATGGTAGTGGGAGTGACAGAGACAATGGTTATGATGACTCAGGCTGGGCTCTAACTAAGAGCGTGCATGTTTGAGTGGGGCTGAGACTGGGCAGCAGATTGATTAATTCCCATTTATCTCTGTGGTTGAGAATTAAAGGGGAACATCTGTTCCTGGGACTGTTCCGTCTGGGGCATCTGTCGTCCCCCCTGTTTAGTTTGGTTTACTACCGTGCCCACAGGCTAGTAACATGCAATGCACTCTAGGAAGGAGGCATCCATCCTCCTTGATCTCAGTTTGTCACTATGAACTGTTTTTCACAGTCAATCTTCCTCTTACAGCCCACATTGTTGGTCCTTGTACTGCTTCTCCTACCCACCCTTGATTGTTTCAGCTAGTATTACAAAACTATTTCCCAGACCCAAAGGAAATTGGGAACTTGAAGGGGCAGGGTTGGAGGAGGGATAAGCTAATTTGGTCTCCCTTTAGGAGTGCTTCCTCTGCCCATGATTAGATTGGTTCAGGGCCCAGGCCAGGGTGGGCGCTGAGGCTCTCTAGTGACCACCTGTGCGATCCTCCTGTCTGTAGGAACACTCTTAATCCATTTACTCCCAAGAGATCCATGAGCAATTAAAATGCAGATTTGTTAGATCCAGTTAAATACTAACTAAGCCTTCTTATCCATATGTTCAGATGGGAGTTTCCTGCCATTTCCTGCAAGCAATGTGCTTTGTATTTATTTGATTCAATGTTTTTAATAAAGCTTTGATTACATCAATGTCTACCACAGTAATGAATGTGATTTAATAATAATAATAATATAATATGCCATTTAGCAGACGCTTTTATCCAAAGCGACTTACAGTCATGTGTGCATACATTTTTACGTATGGGTGGTCCCGGGGATCGAACCCACTACCCTGGCGTTACAAGCGCCATGCTCTACCAATTGAGCTACAGAGGACCACAAATAGCCTATGTTGCAAACAGTGTGAGAATGTCATTCTAATTTAGGCAATTTAGCAAACTACCATCTGTGGGAAAAGGGGTGGGGATATTGGCTTAGGACTGTACTATATTTGAATAGAAAGAGAGAAGCAAATGCAAATTGTGTAAAATTGCATTAGAATGAAAAAGGATTTAGCTGCCAGCGTCTACATTTGGCCTCATTTCCAAGTCAAAGTGGTACAATGGAAACCTGGAGGGATTAAATCTACACAGCCTTTTCATTAACTAACACCAAATAAGAACCTGCCTCATCTTATCAGTATATTATGAGGACATTTTGTGACGTTTTTAATCTTTTTGATTCGGCTGTTCGTGCATAATTTTTTATTTATTGAGGCGAGCCGAAGTCTACGCCCCTTCGTTGGTCATTGGTCAACAGTAGGGATCCTTCAATGAGGTGTTTGTTGTCATTCAACGATAGACAACTCGTTTTCATGCACATTCTTTCACTTGAGAAATACTGCACCAAACATCTTAGATGTAAAATTACGCAACTAAGATCTCTGCAAAAACGTCAGAATGAATGAATGACATATATTTCGATTAATTTGGACTATTTTGAGGAAGTGCATACTGGCTACGGCGTCTCAAGATGGACAAACAGTACTATTGCGGGCTTTTTCGCGTTTTTCAAGTAAATGTATTTTAAGGGAGTATGCGAGCACACTGGTTCGGTTCGCCAGCCGAACCGAAGCATGCAGAAGCTTAATGCAGTGGAAATAAACCCTACATATTTATTAAATCATACATCTATACATTTTGTTGATTTGAGTTGGCAGAGAACTGTAGCCTAGGATGTGTGTGTGTGTTTGTAAAGAATTGTGTTAGTCAGAGACGGCTTTCAACACAGCAGGTGAGCCAGTCCTGACATATGGGTTATCAGTCACATCGTTCTGAACTGATGTCTCTGATTATCGCTGTAAACTAGATAAGACATTATTTTGATGAGTTGGAGAAGTTATGAGTGAGCAGTGATTCTCCATGTGTGCTTCAGGCTACGTTTGACTTAAAGGTGCAATATGGATACAGAGACACAGAAAGAAACACATATCTGTGACTCATCCCCACTGTAAGGGGAGAGCATCGTTATTTTGTAAAGGGGGGACCCAGGGGCGTAGTGCTGTCGGAGCTTTTTGAATTTGAGAATTCACGAGCTGGTAAAAATATTTCAGCAAAATTATTTCTAAAGCTGAATCAATGTCCCGCAAGATCACATAATGATCATAACAGAACCAAATATAATAGCATAGCATAGTAGGCATATAATGTTACTGTTACACCAGAAACACCTCCTTTCTAATGAGATTTCTTTGGGATGGTTAGATTAAGCGGAATAGTGGCATTTCTTTTCTCATGTGGCCAAAACTGAACAGCGCGTCAAATCAATTCAAATTATATTTATCAGATGCGCTGAATACAACTGTAGACTTTACCGTGAAATGCTTGCTTATGAATCTTTCTCAACGATGCAGAGTTTAGAAAATAATACAAAATAAAATACTAACTAACACGAGGAATAAAATAAAATACGCAAGAATGGAGCTATATACAGGGAGTACCAGTACCATATCATTGTGCAGGGGTATGAGGTAATTGAGGTAGATATGTACATGAAGGCATGGTAAAGTGACTAGGCATCAGGATAGATAATAATAAGAGTAAAATAAAGAACAGAGTAGCAGCAGCAAATAATGTGTGTGTTTGTGTTGTGTCGGTATGCGTGTGTGTGTGTGTGCGTATGTAGTGTTTGAATGTGTGGGATTGACAGTGTGTATATGGTGTGTAAATAAAGTATAGTGAGTGTGCGTAGAGTCAGTGCAAGATAGGGTCAGTGCAAATAGTTTGGGGACCGTTAATTGACTATTTAGCAGTCTTATGGCTTGGGGTTAGAAGCTGTCTTGGAGCCTGTTGGCCCGAGAGCTGATGCTCCGGTATCGTTTACCGGACGGTAGCAGAGTTCAGTCTATTGCTTGGGTGGCTGGGGTCTTTGCCAATTTTTCGGCCCTTCCTCTGACACCGCCTGATATAGAGGTCCTGGATGGCAGGGAGCTCGGCACAAGTGATGTACTGGGCTGTCCGCACCACCCTTTGTAGCGCCTTGCGGTCAAGAGGTGATGCAGCCAGTCAAGTTGCTCTCGATGGTGCAGCTGTAGAACTTTTTGAGGATCTGAGGGCC